TAGGTAAATAGTAAGTCATGCCTCTCTAATACTAATTAAGTATAATACAAACAACTAATTATTTAAATCTTGTCTAAGTCCTATGGAGCTACCTCGGGTAGATTTTAAGGGGTGCCTAGCACCTTACCATTAGAAGAACAAGAACCCTTACCAAAAATCTCACCGGTTAGCAGACTAATAAAGAATATGACTTTAGTAATTAAATAAGTACCCTAGTATACCTTTAAATATTAGGTGGCGACTCTCTTTCATCAACAACAGAGGAACCACAAGTTGAATCTTATTTTGGCTCGTGCAAAATAGGGTACAACAGGGACTGATGAAGAGGATAAGTAGGAGAGTCAGGAGTCTAAGGGTTCTATGACTCACAGGAATGAAGTCATTGGTCCCTTGGAAAACCTTAGAGATGACTATGTTTCCCCCACTATGGAAGGAGTGATTGAAGAATCAAGGACTTTACTTGCGTCATTCCCTGGTGTTGAAGATTTTGAAAGTGATGAAGATGATATACCTCTGTCAGAAGTTGGTAAGAAAAGAAAAAAGAAGTCAAACACTGTGCAAATTACTTCAACTAAAGAGAAATCTGTGAAAGCATCAAAGATTACCACACATGTTGTTCCTCTAAGGGGAGGTGCCATGGTGCATGTTATTTGCCGATGACATAATTCTGATTGATGAGTCGCGAGCCGGTGTTAACGAGAGGCTAGAGATTTGGAGACAGGCTCTTGAGTCTAAAGGTTTCAAGTTGAGCAGGGCGAAGACGGAATACCTGGAGTGTAAATTTAGCGTTGAGCTAGGGGAAGTGGGCGTGGATGTGAGGCTTGAATCACAGGTCATCCCGAGTAGAGGCAGCTTCAAGTACCTTGGTTCGATTATCCAGGGGGAGGGGAGATCGACGAGGATGTCACACACCGTATTGGAGTAGGATGGATGAAGTGGAGGTTAGCCTCTGGAGTCCTGTGTGACAAGAGAGTGCCACCAATACTCAAAGGTAAGTTCTATAAAGTGGTGGTTAGACCAGCCATATTGTATGGGGCTGAGTGTTGGCCCGTTAAGAAGTCACATATCCAGAAGATGAAAGTAGCAGAAATGAGGATGTTGAGGTGGATGTGCGGGCACACTAGGATAGATAAGATTAGGAATGATGTTATTCAAGAGAAGGTGCACGTGGCTCCCATTGATGACAAGATGCGGGAAGCGAGGCTTAGATGGTTCGTACATGTTCAAAGGAGAAGCCCAGATGCTCCGGTACGGAGGTGTGAGCGGCTGGTTGTGGAGGGCACGAGAAGAGGTAGAGGGCGGCCTAAGAAGTATTGGGGAGAGGTGATCAGACAGGATATGGCGAGGCTCCAGATTTCCGAGGACATGACACTTGATAGGAAGATGTGGAGGTCGAGTATTAGAGTTGTAGGTTAGGATGTAGTTGAGTCTTGACTTACTTCGTACCATTGTGGTACTGGCCACGTAGGGTTTTTGTCTAGGGTAGCTAGTGACAATGTTGTGTTTTACTACTTCGCTTTTCAGTGCATGTCCTATTTACTAGCTATCGTTTTTGCTTTGCATCTTTCTTCTGTATTTCATGGTGTTCCTATTTTTTCTATGATTGTTATGGTGATACTAATGTTGTCTCCTCTTGTCGTTTTATCTTTTTGTTTTCTTGAGCCAAGGATCTTTCGAAAACAACCTCTCTACTCCTTTGGGGTAGGGGTAAGGTCTGCCTACATACTACCCTCCCCAGACCCCATTAGTGGGATTCTACTGGGTTGTTGTTGTTGTTGTTGTTGTTGTTGTTGTTCCTCCATGTAGAACTCCTATTACTAGGAGTAAAAGGAAGGCAGAAGATGAGATATTGGCCGAAATTGCCAAGAAGAGCAGTAAAGGCAAAAAGTCTAATGCGCCTAAAGAAGCAGTGGTAGAAATTAATGATGAGGAAACTGTATCACTTGTTAAGAAGAGGGTGGTTACCTAAAAGAATCATACTGTAAAAGCTTCAAAGGAAACTACTTTTGAGGATCAAGGGAAGAAATAAGGGAAAAAGAAATCAGCACAGCCTAAAGTAGTTGACAGAGTTAAGGAGTTTGGGAGTAGAAAAATTTTGAATGGGAAGATTTTGGCAAATATTTATGAACCGGGTATGGCTTAGTTAAAAGAAAAGATTGAGTTGCAAGGTTGGACTCATCTGTTTGTGAGGCCTTTTCCTCCAACCTGTGAGCTAGCTGTAGTGGAGTTCTTAGTGAAACTTTTAGTTTGATGGTAAAACTGTAAAAAAATGTTCAGTAGGAGACTTTGATCTGTAATTTGATAATGAAGACTTGGGATTACTGTTGGATATTTCCTCCAAAGGCTTTGATAACTGCTTGAAAGAAGAAGTAGCCAGCAATTGATGACAATGTGTACGTTGGGGTTGATGTGACAAGAAAGTTCTTTCAGAACTTCGAATTGGACATTCCTACTATAGTGCTCAAAATCGACATGATCCCCTTTCACAAGCTACTGTTTCACTTTGTGCACTCCTGCATACTTCAAAGATTTGAAATGAGGCATGAAGATACTCTTCTAGACATGACTGTGATGAAGTTGTTAGATACTGGGAGACCAATAAATCTGTCAGGATCGATGATCAAATATATGGAGATTGCTGACACAACTAAAACTTCCCATGCAATACCATATGGGTTCCTGTTGACTGGATCTTCCCGAGCTTAAGTATGGAAACTATAATTATGTAATGGACAATGTGATTCTAAAGCAGTGTGGGTGTAGTGATATGAAGTCCAGAGATGGTGGTACAACACTCATACCAGGCAGCAGCTGAGCTTTCTATGAGACTGGAGTTGGCCTTGGAGGAGAAAAAGAAGCTAAGAGATGAGAATGATTATATAAGGAAGGAAACAAAGGAGCTTAGAGAGGAGCTGAGGAAAGACAGAGAGGCTCATGCCCAGCAAATTGCTTTTCTCCTGAAGGCCTTGACCCCTTCCACCTCACGGCCTCTACTAATTACCCAATAATTAATTAACTGTTTAGATTTTAATTTTTTCAATATTATATATTAAATCTTGTGTGTATTGGAAACTCCTTTGAAATCATCATTTCCTCTCGCATCTGCTTGTGTTGAAATTGAGAAGGGCATAACACATCTACAAAGAATTGGAGGAAGACAATGCAACATAGGGGTGTTCATCGGTCGGTACGGTATTTAGACAATTTAGTTCGGTATTTTCGGTATTCGATTTCCTAAAATGCTATACCAATACGGTACCTAATTAAATTCGGTATGGTTCGGTTTTTCGCCTTTCGATTTTGATTTATTCGGTACGGTAACTTCGGTTTGTTCGGCTCTAAAGCAACTTACATAATATTTAGGGGAGAAAAGCACCTTAACTAGCCAACAAAATTAAAATTATAACTAGCCAATAAAATCAATCTTATGAATGCAGCAAAACTACACATCATATATGAGACTTCTATAAACAGGAGCATAAGATTAGAATAATGTTTACAAACCTCTTCAATATGTAAATATGTCTGCTCTAAAGCTCTAACTTGCATCATCATAAAGAATGCACCGGACACCAGTAAGCTTCTCAAAATGTGACCAAAATAAGTATTTCACAAGTGTTGTTTACAAAAACCACTCTGTGTAACATCCATTAACCACATAGACAAAAATAGGTGGCGCGCAGGCTTTAACAAAAGAACATGAAACTAGAAGCCAGGCGCAGCTTACAACAAAAGAGCTGGAGAGATTTGACTATGGTCTAAGTTGAAGTAAGGTTTGAAAATGATGGATTTTAGATTTCTAAACCTAAAACTAAAAAGGAGAAACGACAGGGTGTAAGCAGGTAACCAAAAAAATGGGGGGAAAGGTACGTATAGTGAAAATAAAAGGTGGGAAATATTTAAAAAAATAAATAAGAATAAAGGGAAGTAAAATTTTATAACTTTTATATTTATGCTATAAATAATATGTATATTATGTAATTTAGTATGTATTTCGGTACGGTATCGGTATTTCAGTAATTTTTAAAAAATACCAAATTCCATACCTAATACCAAATATTTTTAAATTTTAAACCAAATACCAAAAATTTCGCTTTCGGTATGGTAATTTGGTATTTTCCGAATTATGCACGGTCCTAATGCAACATGCTTTGACAGATTCTATCTCAAAGTTGTGATCGCATAATTTCAAAAGCATGCAGACGCNTAGAGGATGGACGAAAATTTAGATATTTTACAATCGCTAAACCTGATATTACCTATGTTTTGACCTGACGTTACCTATGTTCTGCGGTTGATAAGACAATTTCTGACATCAAAATTCTCTTTCAGTCTATTCGAAAGCAGCAATAGATAAGATTGAATCAGCAACAAATTTTGCTTTTTCAATGCTTTGGGGAACAAGCACAACAAGGGCTTTTTCAATGCTTTGGGGAACAAGCACAACAAGGTCCACAGAGAAAACAACAATCCCTCCCCTTCTACTGCCTACTTTTACGCATTTCTTAGGTATACCTCAATACAAGATAAGCGCAGGAAAAGATATTAAATCAAAAACGGGACACATAAGAGGAAACGTGGCCATGAGTGGGACTAAAGTCATTTGATCCCAATTTCAGGAAGCACCAATTTTGGAATTTAAGCCTACATAAAACATTATATTTCTTTCCCTTTTCAGAAGGAAAAAAAGAAAAGCATTCCATGGTAGCCACGACACATTTCTCGTAGGTTTCCTTTAAAGACGACAAACTGTTTGTTTGTCTGTACTTCTTACTTTTGCATCCCAAAGGTTGAAATAATCCTCTTCCAGCAGTTTTGAGAAGACACTAGGTAACCAACTTTAATATTTAGTTAACATTTAAAGGGGAAAATGTGGATAAAAGACATGTTGGCGCCAGTTGCTATAACAGAGTACTGTCCGTTTTTTCCCAGCTCCCAACAGACAAAGATCCTCACACATCTCTAAGAGAAATTACCTCTCATCTGATGCATGTTGCATATGACCATTAAAAATAGCATTGGAATCATTGCAACGTAAAACAAGTTGAACATATTACAGCAATCCACAAGTGGCAAGACCCAACCGTTCCACACCATGAGAATAAGTTGAGGCCTGACGAAAGGTGAATCAAGATATAAGAATTCTGCACCTAAAGCCAAACCATAGGCTGCCTATAAACTATTTCTGAAATAACAAATGATTGATTATAATAGAAGGATAAAAACTACTTTTGGACATAGAACCAACCAACCAGATGATTAAAAACCTCATGGACATGCATAAAAGTTTTCTGAAAGATTTGCTTGGCCACTTTCACAGATCACTTGTAGAACTCAAAATCAGTATCAGGCTTTTTCACGTTCGTCCTGTACCCCTTTTCGAAGTCCTTGGGAAGAATGACATATCGATTCTTGCGCACAGCATGCATACCCGCTTCTTGACATATTGCAGCAATCTGCAGATAGTGCAACATGCATCACATATATGCATTGCCCAAATTGACTCATTGATAATGGTTACTTGCATTTCTATCATTACTAACCACAGTATTTATCCAATACAAGGGAGGAAAGAAAGGACAAAACAGTTGCACCAAACTATAGAACCATGAGCACTGACCACTGTTCTTGACATTCTAGATAAGTAGCAAAGGACCCTATTTACCAAACCAAAGCAGATAGAGAGTTGAAAGACTAACCTCAGCAGCACTAATTTTGTCAGGGCGAGAAACATAGTCCTCCAAGTCGACCTCATCACCTAAGTTCATCTTAGCAGTGCAGACCTGCCCAAAATAATCAATTTTAAATTGTGCTTGATTTAGTATGAAAAAGCGGAAATACTTTTGCAGGAGATGCACAGTTTACAAGTTCATCCATCTAAACTGCCTACACTCGTCCTTCCTCTTCACTTCTTTTTTCCCAGGAATGAGTGAGGAAAGAAGACAAACATGAGTAGAAGATCATCTAACAACCAAAACTCACCTGAAAAACAAGCCTTTTCTGACGCCTATCAGGCAAAGGAAATTCAATCTTACGATCAAGCCTTCCAGGACGCAGAAGTGCAGGGTCCAATGTATCAGCTCTATTAGTAGCCATAATAACTTTCACATTAACAGTTTGGTCAAAACCATCCATCTGCAGACAAAAACCAGAAAGAAATTCCATAAATATTCAAAGTTTTTACATCTATACAGCCAGAACTACTTCAGATCTAAATAAAGAAGCATACCTGATTTAGCAACTCCATAAGGATACGCTGGACCTCTCTATCAGCTCCAGTCTGAGCATCAAACCTAGCAGTAGCAATTGCATCTACCTCATCAATGAATATGATTGCTGGTGCATTTTCTTTGGCAAGGCGAAAGACATCACGAACCATTCGTGGGCCCTACAACAGTCAAAGATTAAGTGAAATGATCAAAACTAGTATAAAATTAAAGCCAATGGTGGATTGAAGCGATCCCATTTCACCACTCTACATTCAGGATCAAAAAGGTTGTATCCAGATGAACATGCTGCAACGAAACATACAAAATGCAACGCAAAACTGCATTTTGACATAATTGGACTCTGCTACCTGATTGCAAACAGATCTGTCTACAATAACTTCCGTATTTCGAAAAATGGTTCTCATAAATGATGTCTGCTAGTGAAAGATGATTGAAACCAAAGAACCTGATGTCCCAATCGTTGTATTCCTTAAGGTTGGAGGTATTCCTGGACATTCCATCTTACTTTATAGCAGTGATTTAAAAGGCACAAGGCAAACAGCTTTCGCAAGCAGATCGGAACAATACACCTAATAGTAAAATTAATAGACACAAAATAATATCAAAACTTGGGAAACATGTGAGTCCCAAATAAAAACTTATAATAGGGATTTTTCCACGTATTGAAGGAACATTCGCTCTTCTTTGAGACCAGATACTCCATACATGACACCTGATAGCTGGTGCACATCTGTATTCCAGTCTATGACGTAGTCGATTTATTCTCTAGTCTTTGCTACTCTATTTTCCTCTATACTTTAATTGCTTATCGGTTTGCCCTTCTCTTTCCTTGTCTTTTTAGGTTGATTAAGGATATGTATGATGGAGTAAAGACCCGAATGAGGACGGTGGGTGGGGACTCAGACCATTTCCCGGTTATGATGGGGTTGCATCAGGGGTCAGCACTCAGCTCTTTTTTGTTTACTCTGACGATGGACGTACTGACGCGCCACATCCAAGGGGAGGTGTCGTGGTGCATGCTATTTGCAGATGATATTGTATTGATTGACGAAACGCGAGACGATGTCAACGCGCAATTAGAGGTATAGAGGCAGACCCTGGAATCTAAAGATTTCAAGTTGAGCACGACCAAGACAGAATACTTGGAGTGTAAATTCAGTGGCGAGACTCAAGGAGGGGAGGCTGGACTCGCAGGTCATCCCTAGGAGAGGAAGTTTTAAGTAACTTGGGTCTATTATTCAGAGGATGGGGAGATTGATGAAGATGTCACACATCGTATTGGGGCGGGATGGATGAAATGGGGACTCGCTTCCGGTGTTTTGTGTGACAAGAAGGTGCCACCGAAACTTAAGGGTAAGTTCTACAGAGTAGTGGTCAGGCCAACGATGTTATATGGGGCTGAGTGTTGGCCAGTCAAGATCGCTCATGTCCAGAAGATGAAGGTAGCAGAGATGAGGATGTTGAGATGAATGTGCGGGCACACCAGGTTAGATA